ACTAATTATATTCAGTTCAACGTGATCCATTGATAAATGTAGTTTGATTACATTATTGAAAGAGGAACAACTTCAAGAGAGAAACTAGGAACAAGCAAAGAACAAATCGCTTAAGATAAAAGGAACTCCAAATAATGAATCAAGAACAATAACCAAAAGGAGTTGATAACTGACCTGGCCGGTAGCACTGCGAAAGACCAAAGTTGGTTACCTGAAGCGTAAAGTCGTCATTGACGCCAGGGAACAAGAAATCATCCAATTTCAGAACGCGATCGTTAACGCCAACAGAATGTGAATTAACCACAGAAACAACCGATTGAAAATGGAAACAACATCTTTCTCGTTGTAGTTGTCAAGTACTCCGTCCAAGAAACTAGCAAGAGAATTGGTTCCTAGTCTTTCACCGGAACTCCAACAAATCTTTGTGTCCGACGTAGACAGGGAGGTGGCGGTGGCCACGTTTTTCATGTTTTGGCGGATTTCTTGGCAACCGAAATGGTATGAACTCAGAAAATAATATCCTGGCGGAGGAAAAGGTACGAAGAAGCGATTTAGATTTTTAGTTAAGATAATTAGCTATACTCCCATATATAATTCTTCCTCGGGTTTTTCGAGAGATTCTATATTGTGTAGTAACGGAAGCGTGGTAGACCCTCTCCTATTTTTTGCCCATATGATCCTTATTGTCCATTTTTTCTCAATTTTTTTTATATTTTGCAAGTTTATTCCCTATCATTTTTTTCCTTTTTTTTTTCCTCCTACGAATCAGAACCAGAATTAGATAAAATTAAACAACTAAAAAAAAAGTTTAGAATACAATTCATTCCCATCACCGGCGAAGGATCTTCATTCAAACAATAATGTGGGTAAGCGAAAAATTCCTCCAGGGAAGGATCAGGAAAGTTGGGTGTATAATTCGAGAATTTCACCTACGAGGATGAGAACAAAAATTCATCTGACTAGTGATATCACAATATTTTGAATAGTATTCAATTACCCAGGAAGAATCCGACTCCGAATAGGGTGCATAATCGAAGATTTCTTCCTCCTCTACCCCATTCGCAGGACTTGGTGTCCGGCTTGCTTCCTTGGAATATGAGCGTTGTTCAGAATTTGTAAAACAGTTAGAGAAGCAGAGGAACTACTTGATACAGGATCGATCAATCAATCATATATCTAATCATCACTTCCAGGCAATGGAATTCAAAGATACCCTCGTAAGCATCTGCATGAATACTTCAGCCCTATCATTTTGTTCCTCTCTTATTAAAAAAACATCTCTAATGTTCAAACGAGCATATTTCATAATCCGTGAAAAATTTATAAACGAATTATAAAATTATAGTACTCGACAAGATCTATCCAACAAGATCCATGTCGAATATTTTTTTCAAACTCAAAACACATTTAAATTTTATGGGCAGAAATGAAAGAATATGTTTTTCCTAAAATACTTATCCATCATGTTCATATTGATTATCCGACCGGTTTGAACTGATTATCTACTTTGTTTGTACTAATTATCCATTTTGTTTATGTTGCTTATCCAATCATTTTTTTTCTTTGAAAAAAAGTTGTCCAATGTGTTCATAATAATTATCCAATCATTTTGAATTGTTTATCCAATTATTTTTACTATTTGTCCAAATAAGTTTGTATTGCTTGTCCAATCATTTTCTTTCCTTTTTTTCCCTCTTGACAAAATATTTGTCCAATGTGTTCGTACTGATTATCTAACTCCGTGCTAATGTTTCTCCATCTATTTTTTTTTAATGAAAGTACTTGTCCGATATGTTTGTACTTATTATCCAACTAATTGGTACTGCTTATCCAAACTAGTTTTTCTTTTTATTTTTTTAGAAAAAATGGTTGTCCAACGTGTTCATAGTGATTATCCAATTGCTTGGTGTTAATTATCTAACAATTTTTTTTTACTTTTTACGAAAATCCTAGTCCAATTTTTTATACTGACTATCCAACCATTTTGTATTGGTTATCCAATTATTTTCATTGCTTATCCAAACAGAATTTTTTTTCTTTTGAAGAAATGTATGTTCAATGTGTTCATACTGATTATCCAGCTCTTTGGCGATGGTTATCCAACCTTCTTTTCCTTTTTTTTTGTGAAAATGATTGTCCAATTTCTTTATACTGATTATCCGACCAATTTGTACCGCTTATCTAATTATTTTCACTAATTATCTAGATGGTTTGTAATGCTTATTCAAATATTTATTTTTTTATTTTTTTATTTTTTTGGAGGAGGAGGGAATGGTTGTCCAATATGTTCATACCGATTATCCAACCGGTTTGGTTTCGTAGTGTCTATCTACTTGCTTTATACGCCCTATCCATCATTAAGAAATGTCAAAGAGAGTTTAAATCTACTCATTTATTTTTTTTGGTACTTAACCAACGTCTTTCTACTGATTAGCCATTATTTTTGTACTGCATATCTAATCTTTATTCTGTAAAAAGTGGTCGTCTAACGTGTTAATAGTGATTATCCAACTGAATGGTAATACTTATCCGGTCATTTTTTCTCTTCTGTAGCCGTTCTTTTTATTTCACTTTTTACGAAAATTCTTGTCCAGCTTATTTGTACTGACTATCCAACCATTTTGTATTGGTTATCTAATTATTTTCACTACTTATCCAAACAAAGTTTGTACTGCTTGTCCGATCATTTTTTTTTTGAGAAAATGTTTGTCCAATATATATGTTCATACTGAGTATCCAACATATCAACCTCTTGGTGATGGTTATCCAACTATTTTTTTTTTTTGCTTATTTTTTTATGAAAATGATTGTCCAAGTTTTTTATGCTGATTATCCAACCAGTTTGTACTGTTTATCCAATTATTTTCACTAATTATCCGAATGGCTTGTAATGTTTATCCAATCCATTTTTTTTTTTTGGAGAAATGGTTGTCCAATGTTCTCGTACCGATTATCCAACCAACGGTTTGCACTGCTTCTCCAATTTTTTTTTTCTTTTCCAATTTTATTTTTGAATATCCTTGTCCGTATTTTTTAAACTGATTATCCAACAGGTTTGTACTGCTTATCCAATCATTTTTACAGCTTCTCCAAATTGCGGCGACTATCCATTAGTTTTGTAGCGTTTATCCAACGCCTCTGAATGTACCTATTTCTATCAGCAAAAAATATGAGAGTGAATTTGAATCAGGCAGCCTATCGACTGGTTTTCTAGTGCTTATCTAACGTTTTTGTACAGGCTATCCAAAACAATACTTTCTTCATTTCTGCCTGGAGTATTTTAATTATTTTTATTTTTTCAAACAAAAAAACTTAAATATTGATCTTATCGGATAGATCTCGCCAGTATTATAAATTCATATATAATTAGTTTTCTAATTATTTACAGATTGGGAGATATAAATTTTACAAGAATATCAATATAAAATAAGTCGTCATTAAAGCCTCAAACAACGTCGTCCCCTCTCATAATTTAACCTAATTAATTAATTTAATTAAACACCATGACATTCTATTCCTTTTACAATTTACATGACCTTCTCCACGCCAATAGTAATAATAACAAATACGAGAAAGAGAAAAGGAATATATTTGGTAACTCTTCTGATTTCTCTGAAGACTCTTGTTGGTTTGCACTTTGCAGGGTGAACAATCTACCGACTGAAATTAAAATGTGATTGCCCTAGCTGTATATGTTACTCCTAGCAAATGACAATCAGTGTAATATAAGTTTATTTGCTTTTCAACCAAAAAAAAGAAGTGATTGCAATATGATATTTGTTTATTCATGGTTTTGTTTAAATTTTGTTTTTACCTTTTTTATTGTACTGATGGCAATTTATCGAAAACGTACCATATGTAGCACCATAATCCAAACACAACCTTGCTTTTGAACAGCAACTTGTAGGATTCCTCGCCCTAGTGATTGTCGAAATACAAAATGGGTTCATTTCATATTTTCTCCAAGGAGAGGCATATTCCTTTGTCCCGTAATTCTTAGTAGTTACAAATCACTTTCACTTGATTAAGATATTAACTTTGTTAGCAGCAAGAGGCAGGCAAATCCTTCCTTCACGGAATTCGGAAAATAAAAACAACTCATCAAATTCATCTCAATCTCGTACTTCCTGTAAAATAATATACTTTGTTAAACTATTCAAAGAACGTACGAATGTTTGTATAGGAACATATGTATAAACATGAATGTTGAACATAAAAAAAAAGAAAAGAAAAAGACATTGTTTACGAACATATCATTAAGATAAATGCTTGCCAATATTATTATTTCTTTTAAAGTAAATTTTAAAAATTTTGGACAAACATTACGTTAGAATAAAAAATTTTAAAAGTCATTTTAAAATTTTTCTATTTTATAAAAACGATACTTATTTCAGAATATAAAGAGTTTTTGTACTTTTTTATTCCTAATCAAACTAAACTTTGGTTGAGGAAATTTTTGTTACTTGGGTTCCATCTTGGGATTATCCAACCAAGAGGCAACTGCATCATGCATCAATTTGCTTCTAAAATACTCCTTTTGGTCCTTATAAGGCATTTTGATTTGTTTTAATTTTCACTTTAGATATTTTTTAATCGAAATAAAAATCTTAAACATAATTTCTAAAAATTAGGAGAACACAACGAATGTCAAAATGTATTTTTAAGATTCTTTTTTTCTAATTAAAAAGACATCCAAAGTGAAACCTAAGACAAAATCAAAATATCTTATAATAAGTGTCATATGGAGTAACAAATCTTCGTGTTTTTTAGAGTTGATTAACATTTTATTATACTCATCCTGATTTTGTTTATAATATACTACTTTTATCCCTAAAGTAATTGTTCGATTTACAGAATAAATGTAATATAGTAATTTAGAACACTTGACTTTAACATCATCAAGATTTTAAAATTCATATCAGCTGACAGAAAATGAAAACAAAATTAACCATAAAAATTGGTGACAAAATCAAGACAAATTTGATCCTTTTGTGGAAGACGTTTTTAACCATTAAAATTGGTGGGAAGAAAACACTACACAACGAAATTAACGAAAAAGAAAAACATAGGAACAACCTGAAAAGGAAAAAAAAAATAAATAAATAAATAAAGAAAAAAAGGTTCGAACAATTAACAGTTGGGTTCTGGCCGGGCGATGCAAGCAAGGAAAACATGTCTTCCAGCATCAGCACTACTCCATTTCTAATTCCAATGGTTTCTTCTTCCGCTTTGTTTCTCCCATTCTTCCAATCCATCATTCTCATTCCCATCTCCCAAAGTTCACATTTTTATTCCGATCCCTTTTCATAAAATTCCCATTTTTCTCTTCCCTTTCAATCTTTCCTCCTGATTCCCATTTTTTCCCTCATAAATTTGCCATCTTCCCCAACCACTTCCACTTTCCATTTCCGTTTCCACACACAGGCAGACTTGCTTAATTTGGAAAGTCTTGGGAAGATGATTAATTTGGAGGTTTGGCTGAAGAACTCGTTGGAATCAAAAGGATTACAGTCTTCAGCTGACACCCATGATTTCTCTATGCATTTGGATGGGTTTATTGGGGGAGGATTATTTCTTGAACCATCGGTTCCGACATCATTCGTTTCATTAGTTTCTCCGAATAATTTGCGGGATTGTTCGTGTTCCATCGAGGTTTCGGGTGGTGGTCGGTGGCGGCGGAGAGGGGTGGTTACCGGCGGCGGTAGGTTTCTATCGGTGACGCTTTCGAGTGTGAATGGAAATGAAGGGGAAGGGATTGGGGAGATGTTGGGGTCAAATGGGGAGAAGAGTTTGGAGGGTGAAGATGCAGCGTTTCAAGAAGCCGAGAAAGGTCAAAGGAAGGAGAAGCCTAAGTTAAAGAAACAAAGAGGGAAAACTTTGAATACCATTAAGCATCTGTGGGCTGGTGCTGTTGCTGCAATGGTGTCAAGGTTCAGTTTCTCCTTTTGTCCTTTAACCTTGTTTTATGTGCATGATTTTCGCAAGTTAGCAGTTTCACTTCTTTCTCTTTTTTTAAAAAAATCTTTAATGGTAGGGGACATCCCTGATTTTGTGTGACATATATTGTAGTTGTTCATATATATTGCAAGTGAGATTTGTGGAAATCAATACTGAGCAAGCTTAAATTTGAGCTACATTACAGTGTTAACTGATAGCATATATTTACCATTCAAAAGATTTTATCAGGTTTTATGCATTAAAGTTTTATGCATAAAAGTGTTAAGTACTATCTGTATTATGGCAAAAATGATGAAATGAGAGCAATGTCTACCAGTTTTTGTGAGTTTATTAGAAATGATCTATGTGGATTTTGAATAGTTTGGCTTCGAGATTTTTCTTGCGTCTCATAGGGAGTGATGCGAATTCTGTCTGTGTGGCTTACATTTCACATGAAGAAAATTGGTAAGTGTAAGAATTGAAGATGCCTGGATCCATAGGTGAGAAGATTTTGGAATTGTATAGTCTGTGGATCATTAGAATTTGAAATCTCACTGTTCAAAGAAAATAAAGTAAGTGGCAACTGGCAAATTCTCAAATTTGTGGTGATAGCATGTGGTATTGCATTTCAATATAATGAATTAGCTTTGAGTTTTTCTGTTTTTCCTAGGATCTTAGAGCTTTGGGATCAAACTAATTCAATGCAGTTCTAAAAGAACCTTGGGAGGAAAGTCAACCATTCTTTTTGTTGAGTGTTACAAATCTCTTCTCATGATTATAGAGAAGCATTATGATGGTATCGTTGCTCTGAACTATGGATTCCAAAAAACATCTTGGTGTTTCAAGCATATTTGCCAAATTTCTGAAATTTCCTTTCATTTGTCTATTGTTTATTGTATATTTTTCTAGTGTTGACCAAATATTGGGGACATGGGTTGGCTGGGCATTTGTACATTATACTTTGCGTCCAGACACCATTGAAAAAATTTCATTTCATATAGAGATTCCAGCTTTCACATTATCCATCTTCTAGTTAAATTTATGTTATATGGAAACTCTCCAAATGTAAAAGTTGGAATGAAGCTGTAGGTAAGCCATAAGAGGTTTGTAAATAAAATAGAACTTGCAGAGAGGGGAAAGGTTGACCTCTCTATTTGGTTTAACTAGCCTGACAGTGTAGTATCTTCTGAAAGTTGCAATGAGAATCTAAGGGCATGAAAGTTGCAATGAGTATTTGGTTAATAGAAATTGTTGTGATGTTTTCTTCTTTCTTTTTTCTCCAGTCCTTTTTTCCTTTAAATTCCTTGTATTGTTTCTTTGGGCTTTTTTTTCGTTATGATTGCTTTAGTGCTACAATCTTTAAATTTACATATGATTTCCTTTATCAGAACTTTTGTTGCACCACTTGAGAGATTAAAGCTGGAATATATAGTTCGTGGTGAACAGAAGAATCTTTTTGAACTGATCCAAACAATTGCTGCTAGTCAAGGGTTGAAAGGGTTCTGGAAAGGAAATTTTGTTAACATTTTGCGGACTGCTCCATTTAAGGCTATCAACTTCTATGCTTATGACACCTACAGAGAGAAACTGCTAGAAATATCTGGTAATGAGGAGACCACAAATTTTGAAAGGTTGGTTGCAGGTGCGGCAGCTGGGATTACTGCTACTGTGCTATGCATACCTATGGACACAGTGAGTTCCTTAAGAGGATTTGGAAATTTATATATTTACTGAATGCTTCCATGATTTAGACCTTCTACAGGAGAAGATCCAACTGTGTTCTGAAATTTGACTTGTGTATTGCATTTTTTTGTACTTTTTAATTCTGGTGATTTTGAAGTAACCTTGTAAATCCGTCGTAGCAGTCTGTAGCAAGTGAAATTTCAACGTTAATGCTTATCAGTTCATATGGCATTCAAATTTAGTGCACACACACTTCCTTCTGTCTGTACTGTAATCTTTTATGGTTTACTTTGAACCTGCTATTTCTTCTATTGAAGATCCGAAATATTTTGTTTATGTATCAACCATGCTTCCTCTCTTTGTTGGTTTTTAGCTCTGGATATGCAAATAACAGTAACCTCAGGGGCCTAAATGTACCTTGAAAGAATAAATCACCTTCTGAGAAACTAAATCCTTTCTGTATGACAGTCTTCGTGTTGTAGCTGTAGTGCTTTAACATTGCAATGATGATAAAATGCTTGTTATTTTTCTAACTTGCATGAAATATAATTCAGATTAGGACTGTAATGGTGGCTCCTGGAGGGGAAGCTTTAGGAGGTGTAATTGGGGCATTTCGTCACATGATCCGAACTGAAGGATTTTTTTCTCTTTACAAGGGCCTAGGCCCCTCCATCATAAGCATGGCTCCTTCAGGTGCTGTTTTCTATGGGGTTTATGACATTCTAAAATCTGCCTATCTTCATTCACCCGAGGGTAGGCAGCGGCTTGAGCATATGAAAGAGCAAGGTGAAGAATTGAATGCTCTGGAACAATTAGAGTTGGGTCCCATCAGGACACTAATATACGGGGCTATAGCCGGTGCTTGTTCTGAAGCTGCTACTTATCCTTTTGAAGTAGTTAGGAGACAGCTCCAGATGCAAGTTCGAGCAACAAAGATGACTGCTTGGGCAACTTCCCTCAAGATAGTTGAACAAGGTGGAGTTCCTGCGTTATATGCAGGATTGATCCCTAGCTTGTTACAGGTAACTTCTTTGAACATCTGGTTTCAAGGCTATCCTTTAAACATTAAGTAGCTGATATGATTGAAGAGGGTAGTAATAACTTTTTCCTCGCCACAAATGTAATCACTTATAGTTAGCCAATATTAGTGATTGAGATTCCATCTTCTGGTCATATATAATAAGGCCATTACAAACCCTTTGAGCTCCATTGGCTCAAAACTTACACAAGTATCTATCTTATACTGTGGACCACTAAACTTAAGCCTGCTCCCCCAACCCACCCTGGGTTCTGTGCACCCACACTCGAAGAAGTAGTTAGAGAAAAGATTTCCTTGAAAATTTGATAAGCTGAAGTAGCTTCTCAAAGACTCGGACCTAGGGGCTCTAGAAATGGTACAAAGAAAGCGTGGGTTTTAAATAATATCAGAAGGCCATTGGGGTATTGGGCTCCTAAACCTAGAGGAGAAGTTGGGAAACTAAAAATTCTTGAGAAGTTGATCGAAATACCATCTCTATATTTAGCTTATGAACCCTGAGGTCAATAGCATGAATGACTTTCCTCTCATAGGATGGAGGATTTTTGTTTTCATTCTTCACCCTTCAAACCTAAAAAGTATATCTTTTTTCAACGTGAACCTCTGCTTTGTCTGTCATTACTTCCATGTTGTAATTGAGCAAATTATCTGTCCAAGTTATGTAACTGAAAGAGATATGTGCAGATTCTTCCTGGTTTTTTTTTTCCTTACTAGGGTTTTACCTTTCAGGTTTTACCATCTGCCGCAATAAGCTACTTTGTTTATGAGTTCATGAAGATAGTTCTCAAGGTGGAGTAGCTCAAACCAACTACTGACAGTTTGATTGGGTTTTTCTTTAAAACAACCCATGATCATGAATTTTCTGTACTCTTACAGATAGATAGATTTTTTCAGTTTGTATACACCTTCGGAGATGAAGTTCCGACAGTGTCTTCCTTTGGTTGTTCTTTTGACATTAACCATAGGGGGGAGAAAACGGGGGCCTTGTTCCTTGTTCGCATTGTTGTTTATTGGTGTCAAACTATTGTGGGTTATAGCAAGAGCAACTGTTACATTTCTTTCTCCGGCCAGTTTACTATTTTGTTCTGCACATCATCTCTTTTCTCTGTTTCATGTATGTATTCTGCCACAGTGCCACAGAAAATGATTGGAGAAATTTCATCAATAAGTCATAACCTGCGAGTATTGCTGACATGGTTTGAAACTCCCTCCGTCTCGGAAATGTAGTGTAGTAAAACTTTGTTATACTGGTGCGTTCAAAATAGGAATACACATTTTATGGACTAAATTACGTGTTAGTTCAACGTTATAGTTTCTCACAAGACAACTATCATCGTTATGAAAGCAAGATTACAAAAGTCATACATACACGCAAGAGCTGTCTGATTCATTCACTCGCTGTACTATATCCCTCATCCACCTTATAAATTGGACATTCTACAAGATTCCTCTTCACCCTAACTATGTCTTTAGCCTACATAACACTAAACCTATACTACAGCTAGCTGATCTGGTGCTTTCCTAACTTCTAGGAGCAGACGACAGTTCGGTGAAAATCCTGCGGGCGCTGGATGTTTAAGACGATGATGTCCCTCAAGGCTCCGAGTAAGGCCATTGCCTCCCATTGAGCTGCTGAAAGTGAGGAAAACCTTAACCCCCATTACAGACTCACCAACTTTGTCCCCAAGCAATTGGGATGAACATCCACACGAAATTCAAAAAACATACAGCATTTGCTTGGTCATGTGGTGTGGTAATCACAGCTTTCATTTGGTATTCTCCCAAATGCTCCATAACACTTGGTAGGATAATTGACATCGGCCACCAATTGACAACATATCACGGCAAAAATCTTCTGCGTAAAAGTTCTTATGGCGCCCATCTTTTCACGCATTTTGGGGATCACTCAAAAGAAATGATCTCAAAATGCCGAAAGAATGCCTAATCTCAACACATTCGCATCAACAGAGTTTGGAGAAAATTGAAATCCAATCAAATGTAGTTCAGCTGCAGAGTGAAGGTAGCAAAATTTCTTGAATTTCTTTCAGCTTAGAAAATATTTTGAAAGTTTGATCTAATTCCTAAATAAACATGCTGCAAAAATGCAGCATCCGCACACCCTACCCTCAGTCAAAAAGAGGGGAACCAAATACCTAATATGCAAGAAGTTTACTTGAAAAGTTGCTGGGGTTTAGTTGCAACCAAACTTTTTCCAGTGGCTGACTTACTAGGGGGATATAGTGCCACAAGTAAAGGGACTACACTTCAGGATACAAAAGAAAACTTCTCAGTTACAATGACACACTAAAAAAAAAAAACGAGTTAACCGCTGATCACAAACAAAATTTCAAATCTATCCTCCTATTAGTTTTCAGTTAAGCGATTTCCATAAAGGAAAAAAACACTGTACACGTTCAACGGGATTAGCCATACCTCTTCTGAAATACTCCATCTCGAATTATGCCTAACCTTCCTTTTAACTAGTCCTCTGAATTTTAATGTCTGGTAATTAGCTCCTACCATGACCCACGACCTCTATTGCGGCCATCCATACTGATGGTTCCGGTTGCCAGACATAACATTGTGTCCTCTGCCAGCATTGGGACCTCCATATTGATTACTCTGGGAGTAATTTGGAGGAACCCCATATCCAACGGGGGCAGCTCCACGGTGACCAGTGGAAGGCATTCCACTTCCATGGTATTGTTGTCCTCTTCCCTGGGAGGGGTATGAGCCAGCACCATAGTTTCCTCCTTGACCCCCACGATCAGGATAAAAGCCATTGCCGGAGTTCCCAACAGAAGGATATCGACTCTGCCCTCCTGGAGGACCATGCTGCTTCCCATATTGATGGTGACTAGGTCCAGATGATAATATAGGCTGGGAAACGTTCATTGGATGATTAGGTCCAGCCCATTGTTGAGGATGATGAGCTTGCCCTGATTGTTGTTGGATAGGAGGCAGCCGAGAATGTTGGTGTGGATGTGGCAACTTCTGTCTCTTAGCCATTTCTTCATTTTGTCTTTGTTGTTGTCTTCTCTTCTTTGTCTGGAACTCATGAGAGGACTCGTACTTGGGCAAACTGCAAAGTTGAAACACCACCGTCAACAAATCAAAGAGTGCCCCATAAACAGCCACCACTCGCAACAAAAGCATAGATATATTGGTTTGCGACATATTAACGACTGTAAACAGTTACCAAGCCACACCATCAGTACATCAAGAGTTAGTTCCGGAAAATGAAGAAGTCAAACAACCTTTTCGTTTAAGCAACAGTGAACCAAAAGACAGCCATGTCCTTGTATCGACCATGGCAGGCAAGGACTAAGAAGAGAAAGTAACTTAGGTGCACAGCAATTTTATAACCCAGGCACTTTAGTTTTTCAGTTGTAAGATCTTAATTCCATAGTAGAAATGTCTAGCTAGCACACTTAAATTTCCAAACGCGTAACATAATGGAGGTCACAATTAACATTCACTTCTCATATCCTCAGGCTCAGGCAATTCTTTGACTTTTTAAGCCACTTTGGACAAAGTTTACGAGAACGATAAAAATGGTAGATAATTATGCATTGATTTCTTAAATTAGGTTTCGCAGGCTCTATTGACACTTTATTCTTCATACACCTTTAATGCAAGACTATAATTTGAAAGATTAAGAGCTATACCTTTTTGGATCACATGGCAAGGGGTCAGTCCAGAAATATTCAGCATCAAGGGCATCCTTTGCACCTATTCTCTACAAGTCACACGGATACAATTTAAATATATGGCAGCAGTCAATGAAATCTACGATCAACTAAAACTAGCTAAACTTAGAAACTCAGTCAAGAAATACACTTTCCTCAGGGGCATCCGACAAAGGATGATCACAATTATAGCATGATGATTATTGGAAAGGGAGAGCAGAAGACCCAACAAAGCTGAGGTGTTCTTAAAATAAACCAAAGACATAGTTCAGGTTGTACAATTGTGACAGCAATTTGTCATGTGCTTCATTCAAAATGTTGGGCAGACTACGAACACAGCAAAATCCCACCAGAAGTAGGACCATCCACGGTTACAAACTTAAAATATAATCATACTGAAAGATTTTCAAAAGTTTATCATGCCAATCTGATTTTACTGTCAGTACCATCACTCTTGTAGGTTATCACTCTTTATTGGATATGACAGAATGGAGGTTTCATAATGTACTACGGAAAGACGGCCATTGTTATCTTAAAAGACTCAGAGAATGTATTTGCAACAGAGGGAAAGTGGCCAATTAACTATCCACATACAAAAAGATGGGAATGGCTTGCATGTGCATTATTCCAAATTTAGACATCAGAGGATTTCATGAAAAAGTGACAATGGCAGATGATCTAGGACATTTATAGTGAGATAACACTTCTCAACGTGTTTTTTGATTTATGACAGACCCATCTTTCTACTGTTCACTAGAGGATTCCTTGAACAAGGCTGATGTATCCTCTTCTTCAGAGAACATTTTTCTCATACATAAAAACGACCCTAAAGATCCCCAGTGTCGTATTAGTACCTATAAAGTCAGTAAATCCTTCACCTGTGACCAAATCAAAAAATATCAAGCAGAGATACCTGAGAAGGATCAAGAGCCAGCATCTTATCCAGTAGTTCCAAAGCATGGCGATCAAAACTGCAGCAAAAAAAAAAAAAAAGGAGATCAAATGTCCAGCAATAATAGCACAATTAATACTGAAGAAACATTTAAGTTTGTGTACTTATACTTACTGTCTAAAGAAGTCCCTAATTCGTCTCTTCATAGGCCTAGCAGGCTTGAACTTGCTATACCACGGCATCTTTGAAACACCAGGCCAGTTCATCTCATCAGGAGTTCCACAGAGTTCAAATATCTTATTAAGTTGTTCAGGCTGCATAATAATAATACTAGTAAGAACCGAAAAAAATTGGTTTTTTTTTGTGGGGGTGGTGGGTGCGGAGGGGGCATTAGCTAACTTGCCCTCATTAATGTAGTACAGAAGCTTAGCAGGAAACAAATCGAATTAATTTAGAGAAAAAAGACTAAATGTTTTTCATATACAAAGAAAAAGGTTCAGAATCATATTCTTGCACACTTTCTACTTCTTCAAATTGTAAAATCTAACAACTGTACATGCACAGAGAAAGAATATGCATATCTCTCAATTGGCAAAGTGAACTGCATAGTTTTGGGAAAAAGCATGGATGGATTCCCAACAGAACAAGTGCATGAAAATGTATGTAGCCAACCTTGTAATACAGCTGCAAATTAGTGTTATATCATGATAATTGTAATAAAAAATGATCATGATATATGTGGGGACTCAATTTCAGGTCAAACAGCTCTGGTGAGACTCAATCGGAACATGTGGGGTTCTGACAATATGAAGAGCGGTATACGCTAATTGAACTTCTCTAAATCCAGCTGAAGGAAACAGATTCTGTGACTTCAACTTTTCATGCTTTAGCACAATTCCCTTCAAAACTTTGTGCACCACAAATTTTTCAATCACATTATCACCTAATCATATAACTCTCAACTAAATGATTTAGTCAATTATTTTCACTGCAGGTTATGGATAAGGGCCTCGTGTGAGAATCCTCTAGGCCATAGCTTTGCTAAAGACTCAACTTACCGATTCAACAAAACCAAAGGAGGCCACATAGGAGCTTAGTTAGTTCATGGAGTAGACAACGTGTTAATGCTACACTACCTGAGGAATTTGTTTCCTATTGTAAGTTATCTGGTTTGCTCTAATGATTTCTTCTTTTGTAAAGGTATAGATGCAATTTGTAACATTTTGTTAAATGCTTAAGTAGATAGTTTGAAACAGGATCCCCAACACCCAAAAGAAAGAGCAGAAAAGGAAAAACTGCTTTTCAGAGTATAACAAGGAAAAGATCTAAAACTTTATGACATAAAAGGAAAAAAGTGGATGTAAACTGTAAGTATTTCTCAGAGTTCAATAGCCACAATGAATAAGATTTCTTCCTGCTGAAAATAAGATAACGGCCACAGAAGTTTGTTCCGAAATGGAACACTATGTGCTTTGCTCTTTAATTTTTTCTTATTAAGAAAGGAATATATAGAACTCCAATGGGCATGACTCACCTCATTTTTTCCTGTTAAGATTGGTTTTCCATGCAACAGCTCAGCAAAAATGCATCCAACTGACCACATGTCTACTGCTGGCCCATACTTGGTAGCTCCAAGCAGCAATTCTGGTGGTCTGCTCAAAATTATCACATCTTGTTAACCTTTTTTGAAAATAAAGTTACAACAAGATCAGCTCCAGCTAAACAATTACCCACTAACCCTTGGTAATTTAGGCTTTACCTGTACCACAGAGTAATCACACGATTTGTGAGACTTGCATTATGTTCACTGGAGAATGATCGTGCTAGCCCAAAATCTGCCAGTTTAAGGTTCCCTTCATTATCTATGAGAAGATTGGACCCTGCCATGATACACAATAGAAATACATCTTTAGATGCAGACACAGGATAATGTTTGAAATTAGGCAAGTAGCAAATCAAGAACTAACCTTTGATGTCTCTGTGAAGCACTTGATTAACATGACAGTAATGAAGGCCTGTTAGCAGCTGCCTCATATAACACTAAAAAAAAAAACCAAAAAAAAAAAAAGAAGAAGGAGAAAAAAGTTATCAGAAAAAGCAAGAGGCGTTTGTTATAAATATACATGATAACATTCTCTTTTTTATATTACCTTTATTTGTGGAATACTAAATCTCAGCCCCGGACGATCAGAAAGGCCAGTCAAATCATGGTCCATATACTCGAAAACCATGTATATGCTGCCTTTGTACCTATTATTACTATCTGCATATGGAAAAAAAATCATAAATAATGTAAGCCATTTTGATTTTACTGTTAAAAATCCCTCAAAATTTAGTCAAAGTTGTATTTACCTGTATTGTCTTGTTCATTCTCTTCACGACCTATAAAATGATCATAATACCAGAGTTAGAGCATTATCAAAGATAAAGGAAGACTACCTTCTATGGATAACCACTCGAAAAATCTTAAGAATATTAATACCTGGAGATGTTACAATCTCCTTCAGCTTAATGACATTGTCATGCTGCAGCTTTCTCAGAAGTTTAATTTCACGTATAGCTGTAATAGGGAACTGCATGGAGAAAAAAAAACTCATTTGCTACATAAAAGACAAGTTCACTTTCTATATAGACCAGAGGTTTACATTTCAACTACAATAAAATAAGTCGAATGAATAAAGATACTCAGTAGAAAAGATATACCCCTTCTTTTTCATTGTCCATGCGTATCTTCTTCAAAGCAACAACTTCCCCAGTTTGTTTCTCTTTGGCCATATACACTTGCCTGAAGGGTTACAAAAACACCACACGAGGAGATTACCAATATACCAAAACAGAAGCCAGAAATGAAATTTAGAGTTTACTAAATAACATTAAATGAAGGACTGCCACTCAAACTCCCCAAATGTAGAGCTTGAGAAGATAAAACCTCCACTGCCAGTGCAGATAGCCTTTCAAAGGATCACTAGGAAATGAAAAACTAACCGAAAAATAACTTTACAACAATTCAGACCCGAATCTTGCTAAACTCCAATCTTCTTGAGATTCTGTCCTACCCAATAATACACAATCTTTTATCAGATACATTTGATCGTATCATTTCAAACTAGCTATAGGCAAAAGGGCATTGTAAACTTTTTAGCATTATTGATGATAAATTTATAGCTTTTATCTCTAAGTATAATAAGCCCAACATGATAGTCCGAATAAAACAGGATTCACTACCCAAGCATGAGCCTTTGTATTTTTGGTGTTTCTGTATAAGAGCTCAATCGACTTAGAAAAAGAAACATCAGACACTATAACCTTATTTAACAGGGAGAAGAGATCTTGCAATTAATTTAGCAACAGATTAATAGATGTCGTTCTCAATCACAGCATGGAAACTCTATAACATAACTAGCCCAAGGATTCAGTGTTGACATGGCTGTTCTAATTCAGTAAAACTATGTCTGAATTATTCCAGTTAAGAGCATGTCACCAAGAGAGTTTCCTGCTGTATAGATCTAGGTTGCTCATGGACCAGTCGAATAGAAAAGCAAGTAATCTTTTGAGGAGTCTTCCCTCTTCATTGCGGCTGAACTTTAAATCAATCATTTTTCAGTGGGCAAATAATTATTAATTTGCTTCTTTTGACAGAAAGAAGAACATATTTACTAAAAAAAACCCAACTACCACATACAATGAAGCAGACTCATTAATGCGCAACGCGATGATAACAGGGATGGTAAATAGAAATTAAAGGATAAATTCTTGGCATGCTAAAAGTGTATCTTTGTGCCGCGCACCAACAGTTTCCCAGAGGATGTCTACACTTTAATAAGCCAGAATTCCTTGACATGACCACCAATAAAGGCTATACAATTTCAATGCAGTAAAATCAAACAAGAAATAGACAATAATGCCAAAATAGGCTAGAGACTAAAATTCAGTAATATATTCAATGCAACGCTTGCGAGTTCAAAAGGATTTTTTTTCCGTAAAAATAAGACCTTTGTAAACTGAAATTCCTCGACAAAGCGACCAAGAAATGGGTTCTAATTTCGATGCACCAACATCTAATATGAAATAAAAATGATATGCCCGAAAACCTAGACTCTAATCCACCCATACTGATGAGTTGAAAAACAAATTGCAGTTAACGTTCAGACTCGTTTTCTAAGTAGCAGATAAAACACAAGATCTAAACTGAATAAATTCTTTGCCAGAAACTGTAAACCCAAAGTTCGCAACTCATAAAGAAAGCAAAACATGCAATCATCCATTCTGGGACATGGGAGACCCTAAAATCATTAAAAATGACACATTTCAATAGACCCTGTGAACTCAACAACAAAAAAGTTGTGGAATATATCACATATCTCAACCACAAGCAAACACTGTAAATTAAAACACACCAAAAAAACCCATGGTAAAAACCCCTCCAAAAACAATGCCCCTCCCTCCCCCACGCCGGAGAAAGAAAAACTATTCAAATGCAACAATTTCGATTTGGAATCACACACAGATGCTCATGTTTCAATAACCAGCCAATAAACGTAAGCCCGCATAAATTTCCCTCAAAAAAAGAACGCAAACAAATTCTCTATGAAAATCTTTCCCATAAAAAGATTACCCATAAGTTCCTTCACCGATTTGATCAAGCTTCTGGAAGCATTCAACACTCCGGGAACCCCATGATGGCGACTCCTCCAGATTCAGCTGCCCAGCAGCTGCTGCCGCCGCCGCCATATCAAATTTCCGGCGGAGTTCAAATTTTTTATGTTAACGCGTGTACCCTTTAGGGAAAGAACAAGTCTTTTCAGTTTGCAAGGCCTAAAAGATGAACGGATTGAACGAAGTTCTCAGAAGGAAGCCATTGTTGTTTGTTCCTCGACTGAAGCTCCGAAGGAGAACAATTCACAATAGACACACAGAGGTCTTGAACTTATTACGAGAATCTGTCCGCGGGTAGGGATGGGGATAGTTAAATGTGGTCCATAAACGAAATTACTGAAAAGTACAAGGTTTGTTTTTGTTATTTCACTAATTGGTAATTCGAACTAAATAATTTTATTTTTATTTTTTATCTTTTTGTTTTTCTCTCTAGTTATTTTTTTCTTCTTTTCATAAACTTGAAAAAATGAAAAATAAATATTGGAAAAAATAAATTTTTAAAGTAAAAAAAAAAAGAAAATTTTTTTGGGACAAATCAATTGCCAGATGAAAGAATGAATATGACAGATTACACGTTTTGGCGGTAAATTTTTTTTTTTTTTGTACGATTTGATGAATGGATATCAAGACGTTGTAAAGTAAATTTAAAATCAAATAAATGTGGACTTAGTTGATGATCATAGATAGGATTGGAAAAACTAAATTAAATCACGTGTAATTGATGGACTAGTGATGGACAATAACAATGAATTTATATTAGGAAAAATTTACTAAAACTGAAAATCTCATTATTCTATTACTACACCGGCTAAACTTGTAATAAAAAGTGAACCTTTCATGATTATAAATATATTTTTATTTGTAAGAAAGATGCATTAATCAATATAGGAGGGTGGAGTAAACTGAAGGGAAAATTTGGATGAAGGGCAGTGGAGAGAGTTAAATTAATAAAAAGGGTAAGACTTCAAAATAATTTTTATTAACAGCAGTAATCTATTTGGCAAAAAATATAAAATAAAATTAATTGTATGCTGACGTAAATACCCTCTTTTTCCCCAAAACGAAATCAAATCCTTCTGAAAATTAATCCTTCACTGTTAGAGGATATCTCCTGCTACTTCCTATAAAACGATATCATCACCTCTCACACCGCAAAATGGATGCATGCTACCATGAAAAAGTCTTCAATGGAATTGATCAATGAAGTTTCACTTATTTAGGTTGAAGGCGAAATTGATTGATCAATGAAGTTCCACCTATTTAGGTTGAAGGCAAAATTGTTCGTAGCGAAGGGGACAGTAATCCTGTGCTAGGACATCCTATTGAATTCATATGTCTTGATCTGGATGCCCCAATCGTATGCAGGTATTCATGTCTATGTTGTATGATGTTTAAATGCAATGAAAGCTGCCATGTATTCGGGATGAATGCCGACTTTTGGCTTATTCCAAGTTTTACTTTTGATCTTTATTCACTACTATTTGATAATTTTGGAGCTTGATCAATAAAATCAATTGTAGCATAAAAAAAAAATTCATTCAATGGAGTTTGATAGGAAATTGTAGTACAGTTGATATATATATCTTCCGATATTGTGCCTAATAAAGAAGGAAAAAAAAACAAATGAAGGAAAAAGTGTAATCAGAATCGAACTCTTACTCTAATGTTGAAACAATCTTATCCCCAAAGGTATTGGGATTTAATTTTTGGTTAGTAAAATAAATATTAAGGGGAACCATGTCAATACACAACTATTTTTATTTTATAATTCTTGTCAAATAAATAACTGCCATTAATAAAAATTATTTTTAAATCATACCTCTTTTATTAATTTAATTATTTCCACTACCCCTCATCCAAATTTTCCCTAAACTGAAGGAACGAAAAAGAAAAATATCTATCTATCTATCTATAGTATTTATCTATAATATATTATAAATTAGAAATCAGAAAGAGAAACTCGATAATGATTTCTAGAGTGGAACATAGGATAAAATCCTATATGGCATTATTCTATGAATTCAAAATTAAAAACTTTGTGTAATAACAATTAAACCTCATAAATTTAATTAATATAATTTAAGTACAATATTAATTTGTTTAGTTGTTTGCATACCACTAAAAAATATAATTTGACATCTACTTTTCATCACCATTAAGATTAAACTCTTTCACAATTTACACAATATTTAATTTGACATTACATACAAATTAATATTTTAGAATTTGTAAGTACGTCTTATAATTTATTTTTAGCCATATCATCTATACCATCACAACTCCTTAACATTATTTGTGTTTGTCACATTTTTGTTTTTCAATGATTTTACCATATTGTGTTTAGATAAACCCCGTGCATCGCACGGGTTTAACATCTAGTATTATACTAAGAAAGAAAATAAAAATATATTTGTAGAGTGCTAAATAAGCAAAAAAATCCTACATGTCAATTCCTCAAAGTTTGAGAAAAAATAGTTTCTGAATTTATGCTAATAATCCTTAAGGCATATTAATAATATGAAATCACCCCAAGCATCATAATTATTCAAATTAATTAATTTTAGTATTAAATAGTCTCGTATTTTTTAAGAAAAATCACCTTTATTTAGTCCCAAGATTTCTCTTTAATGAACGAACTAAAGGCCAAATCATGGCTACATTTATGATTTATTCAAACCCAATTAATTAAAAACATTTCATTCTATAAAAGAAAATTAAAAATCCCTAAAGAAAAAAAAATCCCATCCTATTGCTAATTAATTTACATTTTTGAATTGAAAATATTAAATATATTCTCGGACAGATTTTTCAAAAAATAAAATAAATAATATTCTAGGCCAGATTTCTCAAAAAAATAAAATAAAATTCATTCATTAACAAAAAACTAAGTCTCGACCTAATTTTTTGAAAAAAATAAAATAAAATTCTCGGCTAGATATTTCAAAAAAAAATAATAAATAAAATTCATTCATTAAGAAAAAATAAAATTCTCGGCCAGAATTTACATCAAAAAAAAAATGCCCAGACTACATTCATGTTTCATTTTGATTGTGATCATCTATAAAAAGGCCTAATTTGTAGTAAAATTTAAAATTGAAAGTAAAAAAAAAATTAAATAGTAATAACCACTTGATTAATCACATTAATTGAGTCACTTTAATTTTATCACATTATTTGAAATTCAAATCAAATCAATACATTAATATCTAATCATAAGTTTGAATTTGAATGAAGTTATAGATAAATATTTTTTTAGAGATATATCACGAGTCATAATTGCATACACGGAAATCTATTCACTTTATTTTAACAAAATAAAATATAAACATATGCCTAAAATCACTCTAATCTCATTAATCCTGTGATTAAAATTATTATGTATATATAAGGTGTGCTTATAAAACTCAACTGGATTGCAATTCTAGTTTATACTAGAATCTCTTCTTCTTCTTCTTCTTTCTCTCTTTTTTTTTTTTAGGATTTATGTTTTTTCTTTTTAATAATCATTATTTTCTGGTCTCAAAAGTTTTTCGCTTCTAACTTTTGTAAGTTGTGGGTAAATATTTTTCTGCAGCAAGGATTTTCTAATGCACATCGATAATGAGTTTCTTTGCCAATCTTGATTAATGATTTTAATGTTTGATTTTTTTTAGCGACAGCATTGGCGAAATATATGATGATAATTAGCGAAAATAAAATTAGAGGGTACAGTGATAGGTATACCCATTTAACTGTCAAGAATTAAAACCTTTGGTTCAATTTTTTTTAAAGAAAATTATTTTACCTTATGGTGTAATTTATTTCTTTGGAGCATCTTAGACAAATGAATTAGAGAAGGTAGGGTGGTTCTGGAGATCAGTTGTCAGGGGTGTAACCTATGGTATCGTTGCTTAAGCGTGGTCATATTTTTCAGTTTGACTCATGCGTCCGAAGGTGACTCTGAAGTCTGAATCATCTCATTAAGTTTCAATACTTTGTTCGGGATGGTATAATATCATAAGCAACAAGAGTGGTCAAAGATGTAAAATTGTGAATACAAAATATATTTAACATGTATATCAATATATGGATCCCTTTATTTTCTTCTGTAAATAAGTACCGCATAAAAATTATTTTTAAAATAACATTATTTAGTTTAGTGTTTTTAAATTATATATCAATTTACTAAAATATAAAATATTTCTTTAATTTTTATTATGTTCGATTTTATACAATAATTTATCTATCACGCACATCGTGCGGGTACCATCTAGTTACAAATTAAAGTTGAATCATCATTCGTTAATTGGAATAATGGTTTCTATGTGTCTCTTATAATATTTTTATGGTAAATTGTGTTAATTCTCAATCATTTTTTTCATTCATTTGCTTCGTACTTAGCTCCTCATGCTTCTGCTTGAAAATATGACTTATATATATATATATATATATATATATATATATATACACACAACGATATGCTTTATTAGATTTGTCGCAAATCAGTCAGCTCTGATTTATATAAGAAACTCGGCAGAGACAACCAAGTGTTAACAAACATTACATTGGACTTCGAATAAGTAGTAATGACATGAGCTACACAATTTTGTAATATAGGAATCCAATATAACGACGAAAAAGAAAGCTCTGCTAAAAGGTGCCTTATCTCCGTAAGGGTTGGTCCCCAATAGATGCATGAAATGGAAGAGTCCCCCATGATTGTTGCGTTATGGACATTAAGCTCTTTAAGAGTAAGAAGAGCTTCTTTCAGGCATGGCTGAGATAATTCCTTCAACACGGCAGCCTTTGGCTAAGCGAAAACCTCCAACTTCGTCTCTCGCATATACACCTAAACCCACACAGCCCTTTGTTTTTTTATATTGCTCCATAAAAAAAGATTCAGTTTTGTAAATTTTTAGGAGTCAGTAAGTGGCATGATCTGAGGGCATTCGATGAAGAAGCATGTGAGCCATTAGCCGATTGATACTCCTTCAGTATAGTATCCATAATGAGTTGCAAAGGCTTGCAAAGAGTTCAGCTACAGATCTATCACATTTTAAAATCACTATCTTCGCTTGGAGATGCCAACTGAACTGATGAAATCTCAAAATGCAGTCTCGAATTTCTGCAGCCTTCCAAACCTATGTCGCAAAGCTACACCAGAAAAATACATGTACTATAGAACCAGAAGCCTTGTGACAAAGAGGGCACAATTGATCTGGGAAGTAACCTCGTCTTTCTAGGTTTTCCAAACCTCGGAGGGAATTAGTCTCTCAACGCCACAAGAAATGAAGAATGC